GGATGTATTTCTGAAAAGAGAAAAACAGTATTTCCAAAGCTAACACACAGACTCATTTTCTGCCTTACAAATATCAAAGACCCAAATCCATTTCCTTAATGCAACCTGTGGTTTGTGTCTTATGCAACCCGTGGTTTGTGTCTTATGCAACCCAAACCAACTCAAAATATGGCAAACTCTGAATTCAAACAGAATTTAGACCTAGACAGTCTGCAAAGGCTGCATTTCTTGGCCATATCTGAATAGTAAAACATTTCTAGCATGGGCATACCACCAGCTAAATATTCATTCTTGCTTCCTAATGAACCTGCCTTTTCCACCAAGTGGAACAACTCAAAGTGATGTACAAAGCATCACAGAGCACAGAAAGTGATAAGGTCTGTCCTGACTTTTATACAGAGCTTGCATAAGAACAGAGAGTGCTTTGAGTTCTGTAAGAGTGCAAAGCACTGTGTTCAGCAGAACGACTCCTGGCAGAAATCAGAAGTACCTACATATACTTACAACTGGAGTCACTATAAAGAACAGAACTGAAGTATCCTCGGCCACAGCTTTTAGATCACCTACCAGTGCTCCCCTACATCTGAAAAACTGCCAGAAGCCAATCACGATAGCCATATCTATGTCGCTAGGGTTCATATGTTTGTATATATCTAGTAAACACAGTTATTTCCAACTGCAGTGTGCTCTTTTGGTCTATTCTCATTCTCTGGTTATGAAAATAACAAGAGACAACAGTAGTCCCATTAGATTTTGGCTAGCATCAGAGAGGCTGTCCTGGCCAACAAGGAGAGCGTACTTCATTCTCCCAAACATATGGCAGCGATCAAGTGGAGCACTCAATTAGAGCTGTTCAGTGCTCTCCCAGCTTAATCTTTTTTCAATGAATAATCTCTTGTTTTCTTAAAGAAATACCTATCCATGAAAAACACATGTTTAATAGGGATTTGGGACAGCATTTCCCTTATTAAAAAAGCTATTATTTTCATCTTCTAGCCTGTGTTGCTATTCCCCCCCTCCTCTCCGTCTCTTCGGCCTCCAGCAACTAATAGGAAAGTAAAGGACTCCCATACAACCCAATTTTTAGAAATTGAGAAGCCTTGGAAGAGTTTCATTAGAGAAAAGAGGGGAGGGACAGGACACAAAGTAAAATAACTTGCAGAACAGATCAGGTGTTATTCCCAAGTTTCAAAGCTCCAAGCATCGTCAGAGCAAGCAGTATTTTTCAGGCTCAAATTAAATACCTCTGCCAGTGGTCACCTGCTCTCACATTGATCTCATGGCCAGCTTGCATCCAGATCAGCCTTAGAGATCCTGACAGCACTGGCAAGAGATACTGTGATCTGCAAGTCCACGTGAGATGAACATTTCTTTAGAAACAATCACTCTACATAAAAGTAGAAATTTAGTAATGGATGCAATAGCTGCTCCCCTTTGCTTTGCCTGTTCTCTGAGTGAATAAATTGTACTTTTAAGCACATAATTTACTTTTAGTATAGCCCAATAATATTAACAGTCTAATGTCAGGGATAATAATAAACTAAAGAGATGAGAAAGACCTCATCAGTTTTCAGTTAAATTCCATCAGAGTTCCTGTCTTTTCCCTTTCTTGCCACACAACACAGGAGAAAAAACAAATAAGGAGGGAGGAAGGAAAAAACCAAGAGAAAACAACATCCAAATCTTATCTGCCAACCTTCCACCATAGCATGCAGGGACAGCTTTCCTACCACCACTGCTGTGTAACTTTAATTCATTACAGGGCAGTCTCATTAAAATGGATATGCCCTGAATGGACACCACAACTAGAAGTTACTCATGAATTCAGCTATACAGAGCTCAGCACCAGATTCAGCTGGGCTGATTAGATGAACATATAATTCTCTCAGCACCCCTCATTCGATGGATGCTATTATTTCAAGCCCTAACAAACCTGTCTCTCACAAGAATGTAGTACCTCCCCGCTTTTACTGAGGAACAGATTTACCCCTGAAATAAAGAAACACAGAAAGAAAACCCGTATTACAGAAAGAGTTATTTCCAGTATAGGGACACAGCCCAGTACATTCGAAATCTCTTGGAAAATCAAATGTTTATTTCATGTCTTCCTCACTGTGGATCTTTGTCAGAAACCTTGTTACTCCTTGACAAAGGCTGAAGACTTTGGAGGAAACATAATCTAAAAATTACCTGCACTGTGGAGAGAAGAAACCCAAGAAAGACTAATAAGACCATCTGAGCAAAAGCAATAGATAGCACGGAGTCTGAAAGGCAATATTATCACATGCACATAAGCCAAGCCAATATTTTGTAGCAGACAATATCCCAGAGAGCACAAAGCTGATAACCCTGACACTACACAGCTCAGATCCAGCATTATTACAATAATTTGTGGGTATTATATTATGAGGATAGTTATTAATTAAAAGGAGGAGCACAGAACTAAGGAGGCTCTCTTCACAGAAGATGGAAAATAGCAGTCCTTCAACAGGCAGCAACTGGGAAACTCCTAACAAACCACTCTTCTTTAAAGGCTAGAAATCCCACAGACAGATAACTTGTTAATACAGTCACCAGGCAAGAGGGGGTACACAATCATGGGCAGCTGAGGGGAACACTGTTCACAAGCATCACGCAGGCTAGAGCATTCACCACTCTTCTCTGAATTGGTCAAAGAGGGTTGTGTCAATGGAGCACATGAAGGTTAGACTCAGCGTGCTGCAACACAGCATTAATGATTCTGGGACTCTCGATGCCCCAGGGAGAATTAACAAAAATGAAAGCCACATCCATACCGAAGGTAAAATAGTAAGACTACAGCTTGCACAGGTCTTAAGTGGATAAAAACAAATCCATGTCTGATTTAATCTGAACAACAAACCACATTTTTAAGATAGCTAAAACGAGGCAAACTCTACCCTAAGTTTAAGATGTAAAGAGAGCTTTTGGTTTTGAGCACTTGCAATATAAACCAAGGAAAGAAAAGATTTGTGACCAATTCCCAAACAGTAACCTCAAAGATCAGAAACTGCCACATGCTGGAAGTGCTCAAATCACTTCCTTTACATGAGGTGATCTGAAGTTCAGCCTCCCACCTCCCAAAGCAAAGCCATCAGTGTCTTCTTGGGTACCTACACCTCTGCTGTTGAGCATGTTCCATTTTGCAGGCCCTGGCTGAATACTCAAAGATTAAAAAATTAAAAGCCTACTTTAAATACCAGCATTTATTGAAGATCCTGAAAGGATGGATACCTGCTGTCATCTTTTTTTCATTCCTCTTAGAGAGGACAGCTTAATGAAAGAATTCCAATTCCTTTCCACCATGGTCCAAGCTCACTTGGATTTCATCCCAAGTGAGCTTTCATCCCAATTGAGCATTTCATCCCATCAAAAGCTATCATTTCAGCAGTCCACTGTTGGCAGATAGAGCTCTCTGACATCTCTCTTGTCCCAACTATACTCAGACTGGTACCCACACATCTTTAACCTTCCTTTGTTTAGTAGTACTGTAATTCCCTTCCCAAACACTCAGATTAAAATACTTCCAGGCATGAAATCAGTCAGCTGTGGAGCTCTGTCTCACAGTAAGAAGCAACAGTCATACTGCATGAAGACTGGACAAAACACTGGAAAGTTACTGTAGGGAAAAATCTTGCCTCTAGGAAAGATAAGTATGTTGAACATCCCTCAAATACACTGCTGAAAACTATTGTTGTGAGACCTTAATTTTCTTCAATTTCAAGAATGAATTTTACACAAATCCTCTGATTTCCTCAGTTGGGGATCTATTCTTCAAATTGTCTGTTGATTAAGCCAGGATGAGAACTACTATTTCTTCTCAATCTCTTCATGTACACACAGAGCAGTAAGACAAATGTCATGTTTCAACCCTTAATTTCTAACAGATTTTAATCAAAGCCAGAAGGTTTAACTTTAGACCAGCACATGGGGGGTAAAAACATATAGCACTTAAGTTAATAGAACTGTACCCATATAAAACTGGTGAAGATAAACTGAGCCCTGAATCTGATTTTAAAGCTTAAACAGACTAGCAAAAGGCCAGTGTAAAAGATAGTATACGGGATATATGCAGTAGCTGCCTCATCAAACCGGGATGCTATGTAGAGGTAACACGGCACTACAACCATGTACTTGGCTACAACAATATAGGCAGCACTGTAATTACAATAATGACCTCCCAGAGCTATTGTGTCTTTAATTAAGCCTTTAAGAGTAGGCATTTGCCACTTAATCCTAACTCACTGTAACTACTGCAGCGTATCATCTACATTTTCACAAAGAATTACTGTGTCATATTTCTGTCAGAAAGATGAAAGGGAATATTTTAGTTCAAGTGGCATTTACAGAATGAAACCCTATGAAGTAAGAGGCCCATAGATGTCCTTTTAACAGCACTTCAGACCAAGTAAATGCTTCTGTTCCCTTTCTTTCTCTACTACTCTACTTCCTCCCAGCATAAACTGGGAGAAAGCAGGCAGGAGGGGCTACACAGAGCCAATATCACAGCTGATTACACGGATGATAAAGCTGTGACAACAGATTTTAACCAGAATACAGTGCACATCAGCAGTGCCACAAACTAACAGTTTTCAGGTTTCACTTAACTCTTTACCACTCATCACAAACAAACGGTTTGCAAATCATTCTTACTGGTATCCACCAACTCTCACCGCACTGTCTTTGGAGCTTTCCTGAGATCTCATTCCATTCAGAAGTCTTGTGACCTAAAGAAATATTCAGTGCAAATGGATATAGTTATGTTATTTTCAACATCTTTAATAAACTGTTATTTAGGGGTATTTTTCTAATAATGGTCCTGCAAAAGTAATGAATTCTTCCCAAAAATATTTGTGTGTGTGTTTAAGCAGAAGAGTTTGTCTGTTGTCTGAATGGCACCCCTGTTAACTCAAACATAGAGACTCTGAGCAGCTCTGTCAGTTCTACTTTACTTTAACAGACTCACAGGCACCGGAGATGAGAACAATTTTCTGCTTGTTTATTTGAGGGATTCTTATTCTAACTATGGAAACCTGACTCTGCCCAATTTCCACATCTTTTCAGTGTCGGCTTTGATATCAGTATTTTCACTCCACTTTACTACTCGCCTACATCAACTCAAATATCACAACCAAACACTTTGATGAATGAGAAGAATTAAATCAAAAACTATGGCAGTAGCAGGGGAACTTTAAAGTGATCAGCTCTTGTGTATTTCTATATCATCACAAAGGACTTTCAACACTTTGTCTTGCCCTTACACACCAGGGAAGAAACAAACACAAGATGATCTTAAGTTTTCCCTATAAACAAGGCAGGGTCTTTTAGTCAACAGTCAGCACTGATTTAACGCAAGCGCTCTTATTCCTGTAGCCTTTCCAAAAGCACCCACAGCCCAATCTCCTCCCAGACTTTGATGTCTTCTCTGAGCCTTCTATTGTTTCTCCAAGTGAGTATATTCAGTTACTCCCCTGGCTGGCCTGTAAAGTACTGAAAATAAAGCACTGCTTGTGTTAATATGCTACTTGAATGACACACACAAATAGCACCAAAAATCTTCTCCCTTGTCATCAGAAACACTAATGTTTCATCTGCAAAGTCCTATTTTATTATTGTCTTCCTGACCTTTGTCATTCTTGTTCTTCCCTTTTACAAGATATTTCATGAGGCTGGAAAATACACACCGTTCACATCACAAGATAAATGTCAACAGTTGCCTGAAGCCTCTTACTTTCTCCTTTCCCTTTCTTCCCTACCATTTGCCGGAGTGTTAAGGTAGTATTACCTTCCCAAACTGATCTTGATAGCAACCCCCAGTTTCTAGAGCATGAGAGAAACTGGTACTCAGTGGTTCTTTCCTGCCACTTCAGGTATAAATAATACTACTACATCAGGTACAAGAGATGCAACCTCCTAGCAAATTCTCCTGCCCACACACCATCCATGTCTAGTGAGGTAATAGAGGCTGACACTGACTGGTGAAAAAACTGAACAAAGTGATTTTGCTTTATAACATCCAATGCTTTACTTACACAACAAACCCAATTTGGCACACACAAATGGAAAGACTTATTTATAAGTATCTGTTGGTGTGGACAAACTACCTGTAGAAAGGCAGTTAAAGGAAAGATGTTTGAAAGGGTTGACAAGAAGCCCTCTCCTTGCAAGCAAGTATTGCAAGCTCTTCTAACCCATTAGGAAAGGTCTATAAGAATGGCCTACAGCCAGCACTGCCTAATAGAGTACCAGAGGAACAAGTAGTTTACGAAAACTGGGTTCCTACTAGCAATGATGTAAACAAGGTCTTTTCTCTTGTGACTGAATTGAGGATGGGGAGGGAAGAGACAACAGAATCACAGAATAGTTAGGGTTGGAAAGGACCTTAAGATCATATATACCTTTTTTAATCTTTGAATTCAGCTAACCAAAGGAAAACAAACTCAAAACAGTCTCCAGCATTTCTGCTCAGCACAAGATTTTATAGTCCACCACAGCTATTCTATTTGATTTTCTGATTACCTCCTTCTTATGGGAAGCTAATTGTTAAATTAAAACACTCTGAAAAAGATTCAGAAGCTCAAAGGAAAAATACTCCAATTTTCCCTAAATTAAAGGTATTACCTTCAATATTTCAGAATGCTTTTCCTTTTGTTTCTGCTTTTAAAGAATAATCCACCATCCCTGTGAGGATATGGCAACGTGATAGACACATCTTAAATTACTTCCCTAAGGTGAGAGAAAGGAGATCTGCCCTAATGAACCAGTCCCTCTTGCCAACACTTTTGCATACCAGCCTTAACCAGACCTTTCTCTCTGGGCTTGATGTGAAAAGGTCACTGGCCTTTTATCTGGAGAAGATAGCCCCTGCAAAGTCCAGCCATCTCTTCGTTTCATTTGACACCAGTACAGCAGCCTCTGCTCCGCTGTTACAAGACAGGCACCTCGGAATGCCTGATCACATATCTTCCTGCTACAACTTGACAAGCTCACAGTGTGAAGGATGTGTTAGAGTTCATTCCAGTTGGAAAAGAACATCTTTAACTGCTGAAATAGTACCTCTCTCTCTTTAGAAGATATGCTAAGTAATTGCAAGTTCCTGACAACCAGAATCACATCCCAAGACTTTCCATTGATTTCAGCGAGTTTATATCAAGCACACTTTTAGCAAATGAGATTGTTTGGGTTTTATTTCTTCAAGGAATTTGAGTCCATAAATACTACAGGAGTCTCAGGTAGCATCACAACGTGACCTACAGACTCCCATACCTTCACACCTCAGGTAGGATGAGTCTCCCCACATGCATATAACTGCCCCCTTTTTAAAACTTGGTTACATCACACAAAGACATTTTATTAACAGAATTCTTACTTCTATACAAGGCAGGGTTTTTAATTCCACTACGCTGAATCATCCTTGCAGATCCTACTTCTGGTATTTTAAAGTCATTCCAGAAGTGGGAAACAAGTAACTTCACAGAGATGCCTGAAATCCTATTATCTCACAGTACAAGAATACCAGCAAATAATAAGTTTATATACCGTAAGAACAGGAGGAGTCAATGAATTTATATTCAAGACCTCTGGGCAGGAGTCCCCTCCATGCACTGAAAATTAGGACAGCTTTAGGCACTTAAGGCATGCAAAATAACAAAAGGGACTTAGTAGGTCAAACCTTTCTGACAACAGAAGGATCTATCTCCTAAAGACAAAAGTAAAGCAAAAGTCCAAATTAAGTACATGACTAGTAACAAGAAATGAACAGACACATTCAGTGTCTACAAAACAGGAGCTTTAGCATATATTAATATATATGACATCTGGATTCTTCCCAACTACTTAAACTGGGAGCAGGATCCCACTTGCCACAGCTTTCTGCTATTGATTTTAATTGCATGAGGATCTCCTTTTCTTTTTGTAAGCTTTCTATTGATGAGTAAATATGGCCCAAGAAGGTGCTTTTCTGCTGAAGAGAATGCAAAACCTGTGCTTACAATGCCTCGTGAAAGCTACGCAGCTCCCCAGTGACAGCAGAAAAGGTGGGGAACCGTTCCCTGCCCCCTGCATTGTACTGTTACACACAGAACTGCTCTTGTGGAACAAGTGAGCCAACTGGAAAGCAGACAAGCAGTAACCCTAACCCTATTACACCAGCACATATTGTCAATGCTAGAGCCAACTTACCATCACCAAAGATGCCAATTATTCCCAAGCCACTGATAGATCATTTTTTTTAATCCAAGACAATGATCTTCTGCTGGAGGCTTTTTCACACCCATGACTGAAGTATCCCTGGTGGCATGCTGGCTAATTAAGAGCAAAATCCACATCTTGATGAAATAACACTGCCACTGGAAAGGATTTCTACAGTTAGGAACATGCTTAATCAGGCTGGAAGGGGCAGCATCCTCAAACTTGCACTAAGCACAGGGAAGAGGTCTGCAGCTACCAATTAACAATGATGAAAAGGACAGTGATTTAAAGCATATTGCCATGACATTTTTATCAAACTAAATGAGTTTGCTAGGCCCAGTGGCTGCATATGCTTATTGTCATTTAATGTTTGGATAGCAACACATCAGGCACCGAGTATCAGGAGGTGCCGAATTTAATAAGTCATTTTGACACTGGTGTGAAACGAGCAAATCAGCATTCTGAGGAATGTGTTCACACTCCGAGCAGACAGGCAGACATCCTAAGCATGTGAGGTGACACCAATCAACAACAGAAAAGGGGAGGCGGGGAAGAGAGGGAGAGAGAGATGAAAGCCAGGAGAAGAAACAGGGAGCAATACTCCCATGAAAAACTAGTTCTGTCCTGTCTCCTGGCTTGGCTGGTTGGTGTCAACAAGGCAGATTTCTCTGTCCTGAGCCCGAAATACAGTGCAATATCTTCGATGGCATAAATCTCATGTATTATTTAAACCCTACATGGATTATCTCAAATGAACTAAAATTAATGTCATGGAAACCTATCAGGACTTTTTATTGCTTTAGTGGTGATGCAAAATTCCTGCCACGTGCACAGTTAATCAGAACATGGGGTTTAGCACAACAAGACTGGCTCTGCACACACATGCTTTGAGAGCCCCTCCGACACTTCCTCCCCGAAGCCCAGAGGAGTTGTGCCTGTGTGAGCAAACTAAGGCTCTGGCTTTTCATGACTTTCAAAGAACCAGCAGCAGTTTTGATCCTGGCTCCTCTGCCCTCTGCAGATTGGCTGCTCGCTCCATCCCTCATCTTCCAACCCTATTTATATTCTCTTTACCTCAGGGTATGTCTGTAGTGCAGAGGTGTCTTGAGTTTGCTGTAAAACTCACCTGCTCAGGGGCTGCTGCAGATGAGGCTGTGTGGAGCTCAGTGCAGTCTAATTTACCCCTGCTGTCACTAGTTCATTTAAAGCTAGCTTAACTATGCCTACCTGACAGGCTCACTCCCTATATTCATCCTTACCACCATGTCCCTGTCCTCACCCCTTCACTTCCAAATACTCCATATTTCATCATGAAGCTTTTCAGTGGGCTGATCCACTTCTAAATTAGTCCCTTTTCCTCCCCCCAAAAGTGTTGATACTAATCTAACAATCCTTCTGCAGTTTGAGATTTATCTCAAATTGTGTCTAAACTACAGGGCTTATAAATTCCATTACCCCCCAGTCCTGAATGCCTAAAAATGCAAATAGCAGAGTCTCAGAATTGAAACGTCATCTCCTTGTTTTGCAGAGCATCAATAGGTATATTAAGATACGATATAACAGTTATGATGAAGAAAAGTGAGGCACTTGGGTACATCACCTCAAGTAGGAGCAGCATTAGGGAGATGTAGTAGAAAGGAAGGAAGAAGAGAAATGAAAGCATCCTCTTCATATGTGCTGTAGATGTCCCATCAACAAAAGTGAGAATAAATCTACTTTCTTCACATATACTTGGACCTACTCCCCACCCCTATTTGGACTTACACTTTTCCCCACAAAGATCAAAAGTTCAAGCTGTCTGTCAGGTAATAACATCAACAAAGCAAGAAAGCAGAAATGAGATGGCATTGATAGTGGAACCAAGGAGGTCTACCAACATGCATAACCAGCATTTGATGGGGTATCCACTAAAAAATAAGGACAGTTACTGTTTTGCTGGGCTGACTGGAGGTCTGAAAAACAGCATCAGGTTTGCAACATCAAACAAAAACCAGGCTGAGATGATCTCCTTACCTGTCACCAAACACATCACTGCACCCAGTCCAGTCATAGATTACATCAAAAAGCTGGCAGCTATCCGTCTCTTCCCTCCACCGTCCCCAAAACCAGTGACCAATCAAACACTGCCTTTAGCAGTGAAGCAGAACATTACTGTTTCAGCCACAAGCCTCCTGCAAGAGATGATGCTTCATGCCTCAGGGAGATTCAGTACACAGCACATTTCACTCATCAAATTTCCCCACACAAGTGGGGTACAGGCTGGGGGGCATTTTACAGGCTTGAGGGTCTGGAATTCAGTG